AGCCTCGATACGGTAACCGTCGACATCAAGTCCTCCAGAAGCCCGCATTTGATCAAACAAGATCTCTAAACGCTGAGGCGAGAGCGGACGAACTAAGAAATTAGCTATTGCTTGCGGGGCTCTTGTAGGTGCTACACCAAAAGCCGAAGTAAACGCACCAGCTCCACGGTCATTGATTCCAGCCACCCGCACAAAATATTTGCTGCCAGTATCGAGGTGAGAGATGCTGTAGTTATAAAGACCATCATCAGCTGATGTTTCTTTGGCGCTTGAAAGAGCCGATCCAAAAGCTTGTGGCTTCTGTCCGGCTGCGACCAGAGTGACGCCGACATTTGCATCAGCTCCAGCACCGTTCGGTGTCAATAGTCGATCGTTTACTGTAAGAAGTGGGAACGTCGGGCTAGTCTGTGGAACCTGTGACGTGAAGGTGACAGTCCATTCGTACTTGTTTGCACCAGCTGAAAGACGCTCTACACTGACTAATCCTACACTTGGCAACAATTCCAGAGCTTCCTGCATGTCGGAAGGCGTAACATCCATAGGCAGCGGTGTCGTACGCCATTGAGTGTAAAGTCTGGCACCAACCACTGTGTCACCAGTGTATGTCGTTGGAGTTGTACCCAGCGCATTGGCGAGTGTACCAACAGATTGATAATTCGATGCTTGAGCTAGAGGAAGCTCCGAGCTTGTGAATGATCCGAGCGCCGATACCAAATACGCCTGTTGGTGAAGAAACACGACGTCACCGGGTGATAGTAGTCCAGTTAGGTCTTCACTTGTCTTGAAAAACGTGGCACCATGTTCAGCGTCCACAAATCCTGGTAACAAACGCCATTGATACAGATCACTACCGTCTCCGAACGACAAAGTAAAATATCCCCCAGTTATCGTTCCTGTTGATCTCACAAGTTGCATCACTGGGGCTCCAAACAGCGGCCCTGTCACGGCTTGCTGGTACCACTCTATTTGATATTTAAGCACGTCAGCAGAGGCTTGAGACCATGACACGATCAACGCTGTTCCTTGAGGTTCAGCTCGACGATCGTTGGTAACAGTCACAACATTCAGTGCACCTGGCTTTCCTCGAGGCATCTCCCGGGCTGGTACAGTCAGCACTGGCACACTGGCTCCCATCTGGCTATTTACTGCGAACATCCGCACATAGATCCATTGTCGACTTGGGAGTCCTTTAAGAGTGAACCGAAACGCGCCATCGACGGCCACAATTAGAGAAGAGATTGGTAAAGTCACTTGATTCAAAGCGTCACCATTCGAGCCAGTATCAAACTCTGGAGATAAATCCCATTCAATTATAAAGCTACTTATTGGTGCTCCTCCTGAAAATTGGGGAGCAGCAAAGCTCACTATTAAAGATGTGGGTCCAGCAAGTGTCAGAAGTGGCGGTGCTAACGAATTAAATGGTGATCGCGGAGCTGATGGAGGCTCAAATGGTACACTTAAGGATCGTGGGGCAGTAACTCGTCTCGGACCATAACCTAACGCATTGTAAGCTGCAACTCGGGTGTAGTAGGTGTTGCCAGGCGTAAGTCCCTTAATGATGTACTCATATGGAACCGGCGTCGTATTTGCGTTTACAATGACCACGCCACAATTTGTTCTTCCACTAACTAATATGTTGTTGACAGTTGAGGGACAATATGTGGCTCCGTTTAGACTTCCCATTTGAGTTCCTGCAGTCACAGTTAGAGTAGCTTTGCCGCCTATGGCATATAGGCGACTGGTGTACGTCAATGGTGGCACGACGCCGAGCTCACTTAAAAACGTGACGGTCCACGTGCATTGATTCTTGATCGTACAACCATCGCGTGTCACTGTCACGTCGCCCACGTTTGGTAAATTTTTCAGTTCTTGTGTCATCGTTTCTTGTGAAGTGGAAGCGCTCAATGCGGATGTGCTATACATACCTTGAATTGGACACAATGTGCACGTAGTCGTGTCAAGTGCTAAGACGAAGGAACCAGCAACACTCCCACTAGAATCTGATGTTGTCTTGATTGTTTGAATCTGGGCAATGGTGCTAGAAAAATCGAAGGTATCGATCCACTCTACAAGAAATTTAGTCACAGGCGAACCACCTCCACCGCTTACATCTAATAATGATTTCGCAGGTGGCAGAAACGACACACGCAATGAACTGACGCGCAAATCGGGATCTTCCTCGTCGTCAGGCGTTAGCGCACTTAGAATGACATATGGAGACGGCGGGGGATCACTGGAAGTGATTGGAGCAACCGACATACTATCACTAGGAGGTCCAAAGCCCAGCGAGTTGTGCGCAGTAATACGAATATGCGTCAAAACCCCCATCTCGAGACCACTCGTCAGTTGATACTCGTAGGTTTCTTGTGCATCTAATGCAAGTGTCTTTCCCGTAAAGTCTGCACATCCAAATCCGCTGATGACAGTAATTGCAGATGCAGTTGGAGCCGTAGACGCTACTTGAAAGCTACATGTTATAGACCCAGCGCCTACAACTATCCAGTCGTTGGTAGCGAGGCCGAAGCTTAGACCAAGACCTCCACTCACTGACAGCGTGTTGGTAGCCGTCACGAGATCTGTGATGCAGCTGGCACACAGCTGACGAGTCAGCCAGTGTGATGGAAGTTTGGACGAAAGCGTCACAATTGCCATCTGCCTGTTTGACGATGAAAAGTCTGCCTTTGCGTCCCACTCCACACGGAATGAATCAATCATTTCAAGTCCCGACCAGTGATTGGGATCACGAAACGCAATCGTTATCGAGGCTGCAGTGAACCCCAGAATATTAGACACTGCATCACCTACACCAGCTCCTAGTAGCTGTGATGGCACTATTAATGTTGGTGGTCCTGGTAGCTGTCGCGTCGTCGCTAGTGTTCCAGCTGCGATAC